ACCAAAGCAAAACAACGCCCAAACCCGGGAGCCCAAAAGCGGCACCCCTTGCGCAGGCGAATCCCGGCGGCACGGCGGGTCTTTTGACTATCTCCTGGGGGGTTTCTTTTTTTCCATTACCGCACTGCTGGCTGTATCAAAAACAAAATTCAACGTTCTTGTTGTGCGAAAAAAATTCTTCGCGTTTTTTAAGCAGATCAGAGCTTAAAGCCAATATACATCGAGCCAAGCGTGAACGAAAATTCTTCAAAATCTCCATCAACCCAAACTGCTAGAGAAACGAAACAGTAGTTGCCATCTTCCATCCATGTTATCCAGCCTTCGGAGCTTTTGTTTTTTGCATCAACATCAAACCGCAGATCCTCATTCCGGCTTCTGATTCCAACATCAGGTTTCGTTCTATATGAAGCAGCAATTTAAGTTTTGTTTCCTTCGAGCACTATCAGACGACCTTTTCAAAAACAAATTTTCGCCTTCACTACACAAAACACTGAGTCCGCATGTTGTGAAGAACAATTCGAGATGAAGAAACGCATATTTACTGAACACCATCGATATCTATTCATCGGAAAAATGCTATGACGGCGCAAATTTTGAAGTGCTGAAATTATGTGTTTCTTTTTGTTGACATGGGTATAAGAGATGGAAATGACCCATGAGGTCTTAGTATGACAGATGCTGCGAGAGGATCTCTATCTTTATCCTGCGTGAGAAATACCTCCCCCTCAACGAGCTGGTCAAAAGTGGACAACATCTTTTGGTGATCAGGCGACACAGATTTTTGCATGATCCAAACTTAGCATGACAAGTTGCCATCCTTCAAACCCAGATCGATATTCGCAATGCACAGCTCATCCTCCGATTCCCAATTCCCGTATCAACGTCGGTTCATCCATATGCAGTGCAAAAGTATCGTACTAGTGTAAATTGCATATACAAATTTCCTCAGCATTAGAAATGAAATTTGTAATGCTGATTTACCTTAAGAATAAAGATTTGCAATGCATAAATGTAATTAGTACCAGTACGACACTTTTCCTTTTGCAGTGCATAATCCAGGCCGAAATGAATGCTGAGCAGCTGCAGTAGATCCCGGATGAACCTGCCCGCGAAGCCGGGTGCGCAGCCGCCGCCGGTTCGGTGGTTTTCGAGCAGACTCTATGCATTGCAAATATGTGGTCTCGGTCTGGAAACATGTAAACCTCTGATGCGCGTTTCACACCAGACAAAAATCTGTCATGCATGGACCGGAAAAAGTCGCTCATTTCTTGTCACACAAAGAGGGCATTTGTAATGCGGACTTGCACGCCAGACCTTCTCTGTCATGCACAAGCAGCATCACACTCTTGCTCTTCCAGACCTAGACATATTTGCATTTGATAGGCTCTCGATAGGAATGTCGAATTGCGCTCCGGTGGACAAGCCCTTCTGTTCCTCCAGCAACGTGGCTAAAAACCAGTTTTTCCGTAGCAGCAGCACCACATCCGCTAACCCCGTCTCGCTGTCCGCATACGTGGTTGCTGGTACTCCAATTTGCGCGCAGTGAGTGGCGAGTTGGGAGAAGGTCTTGTCCAGCTCGGTGAGTAAAGACTCATTCGTAGCTATCGAAAGGAAAAATCCCCCCTACCCATAACAAAACGAGATTTCTGATGCTGGATTTGTGTACACAGATCCTAGCTGTCTTGCTGGAGAGCACTGCAGGCCCCTACAAAGTGTGAGTCGAAACGTTTTGGCCTAGGCACTTAACATGACAAAAAAAACGTCCGCGCTGTAGGCCCAACAGCATGACAATCCGCCTGCACAATGCGGCGGAACCTGCGGAGTTGCCTTCTTGCAAGACAGGCACAATTTGTGATTACAAATCAGCATCACAAATTTCAAAAAATATACCCTTTCAGTATGGGGTAGGGGGATTTTTTCTTTTGATAGTAGCCTGTCCTCCCGTCGTGCTCCTTACTCGGTTCCCTCGTTGATCCGCGGCGAACTTTGCGGCGAGAGTAGTGTCCGCTGCCAACCTATGAAGTGCAAAGATCCCTGGACGTCTGGAAGGTTGCAACTTGCGATGCTGTTTTTCGATTCTAAAAAAATCTGTATTGCATCACCAGCAACAGGATTGCAGTTTGTGCTACACGGTAGTAGGGGTAAGTATTTCTCATGCGGAATAGGCAACTACAGGAAGCCCGCTAAAAATCTGTGATGGTAAGCCATGCATTGCAGGCATCATGGGTCATGCAATATATGCATGACAAACCTGGCAATCTTCCAGACCCAGACATTTTTGCATTTGATACAACCGGGCGGAAAACTTGCTGCAGATGATCGCTTGCAGGCTGGGTAACGAAAGATCGAAATCATCGACCATTGCAGGTCCAGATGCTGATGCGCTGGTGCTGGCGGCCGCGCCCTATCAAAAGAAAAACTCTCCCCTCCCCATATCGAAACGACGGCTCTGTTGCTGGATTTGCGTACGCTTTGTCTTGCCGTAAAGCATAGCGGCCAGATCCTCAGCCTCGATAGGGGCGCAAGGGCGTAGTTGTTTAGCATCGCAACCGGCGGCCCTGTAGGCCCAACAGCATGCCAAACCGCTTCCATAATGGAACGGAAGCCTCTGCGCTTGTCTCTTTGCAAGACAAATATGAGGATTTGTGGCCCTAAAAAGATGAGCAACAGAAATTTTCGGAGCCTTCCTTTGCAATATGGGCAGGGGGGATTTTTTCTCTCAATACGCCAGTCGTTTTCGTTAGGTACTCGACTCCGAAGTACCGCTCGAAAATCTGCTCCAAGACTATGACTTGCTCAAATGCTACAATCTCAAACGTTACCATGGAATATGGAAGTCTGTGATGCAAGAAGTGCATGATCTAGCCTACTCCCACAGCATTCCGCATGACAAGTTCGGGAGTCCGAAACCGCACTAGAATCTGGCGAAATTTGTGCTGCAGAAAGTAGAACGCTCTGCGGGTTTGTCATGCTCCTCATGCAATACAAAATCCAGATTCTATTGTAGCGTTTAAGATTGTAACCACGTTTGAGCAGGTCATAAAGACAACCAAGCTCGGTTTCCCAAAATTTCGGTTGAATTTGTGCACGTCGCCGTCCTGGTGCCGGATGGCCTCCCGCCAGAGGCTGAGAAGTTGCTGCTTGATCACTTCCCTGTCGGCAGCCTCGGTTTCCGCTTTGGTGCTTGGAGTCGCCATTATGTTCTGCAGTTGCTGATACTTGACTAATGCGGTGAATGCAGATAGCATGTTACTAATACAACTTCTATCAGTTCTGCATCAGATACTTAAGGGGCTCAGAACCAGAATAAGTGAAAAATAGTAAAATCCATCCGTGTGAAAAAAAAAGTTCTCGTTGTGCTGATATTTTTATAAAAGAATGGGAGCTGCTGGCCTTCTTGATCGGGGTCTGTGAGAGTTTACACGAGAGCAGGACGATCTTCACAAACAGAGACAGACGATAGAGCACAGCAAATGCTCTATTTGGTACTTAGCTGGTAAGGATAATTTTCGAAAGTTACATGTAGTGCAAGAAGCTAGAAGTATGCGTTTGTCGCACCAGAACTCGACAGCTTGCGAACAGGTAAGCTTATCAGGTGAGGAGGAGGACCTTCCGAGGAAAAGAACAGTCGTTTTTCGCCGATTTCCGCTGCAATGATTGCGGATTAGCAAGAACTACTTACACAGCAGGAACACAAACTCAACTCCCTACAACATCCATAAAGACTTCTCTTTCTTTCACTTTGTGTTGCTTATCTTCCTTTAGTTTTACTGGCTCCAACACTTCTTCGTGATATGTTGCTTTTTTGTTCAACACAACTTCTGTCGACGGCGCGAAAGTAATAATTAATCAAATCCACCGCTGCTAACGCTAACCATGCATGAGAAGCGAACTCAGCGACAAATTCACATTTTTAGCATCGTGCCTATCTTGGTTGCATTTTCTCGCCCTGGTGCAGTTCTTTCTCCTCGGGGTCTTTCTTCCCTTTGTGATCATGCCATCCAAGAAACGGTAATGAGAGTGCGCAATAGGGTATGGCAGTGCACAACTCGTCCCCCGATTCCTCATTTGTATGGCATGAACAGCGATGCAGCCGTCGGCAAGAGTGCAGGTTCTGCATGACAGATTCCCCGCCCGGGATTAAAAACCCACACTCGACTCGGTAGCCCTCCTCTTCGGTTCCGCGTGTTCGAAAGCGCTCACGCCGTCGAACATTGTCGCCATGCGGGTCCTGTTTGCGACGTACCACCCGAACTGCGAAGATCATCCACGGCCACAGTTTCCTTCTCCACTACTGTATTTTCTTTCCCTGCTAAAGTTTCTGTCTGTCACTGTCTTCAGCTTCGCCACAGCCTGGCGAAGCACATCGCCCAGGTTAAGTAAGTAACTTGTTCCACCGCCGCGGTCACGCTTTTCTGGTACTGCTTCGATGATTGTCCTCCCCGCAAGAACATCGTTACAGAGGTCACCGATGTCCTCGGCAAAGAGTTGTACTGCTTCTACGTGTACTTTCTTGTACTTCTAAAGCAGGTCCTGCTTCCCTCAAAAAATCAGCTCCCCACTGTGGTAGTGCAGCTCTTTGTCGTCTCTCTTCCCCGATGCGTAATACAGCCGCCTGGGATGAATCGCGAAATCCCCTTCCATATGCATTGCAAAAGTACAGTAATTTTTCCAATACTGCAGCATGACAAATTTCCTTCCTAAAAAGCAAAATCAGAATGGGAGATCTAATTTCTCATGCTGGGGAAATTTGTCATGCTAGTACCAAATTGAAATTACTTTTGCACAGGATATTCCAGCCTCCTGACCTGTCGGAACCTGCGTTGCAATGCGCGGTAGAATTTCGAAAACGAGTACTCCTCGTATAAATCGGCAGGCACCACTATCCTGAGAAAAAACGTCCCTACCCCAGAGTTGTCATGCAAATCTGCACGCCAAAAAAGTTTGTCACGCGGGTCCCCATGAGAAGCGTTTTCTGTTCGTATTTGGCAATTTATGATGCTAGAATCGGCATGATGTGCTGGATCTGTGATGCTTCTGAACTAGCCAAACAGGACTCCACTACGAAGACAAACTTGTCATGCGAAACAACCGAAGCTGGTGGATCTGTGTAGCAGATTTCGCATCTTGACTCTGGGTTGGGGACGTTTTTGCTCAGGATAACCACGTGCAGCTTGTTCGTTCGGAAGACCTGTTCGTACTGCAGATGCGAATCTTCAGCATCGCTTTCCATGCGTTCCTCCCCACGACCCTGTAGTGCTGCTGCTTCCGCCAAGGGGATCCACTCAATCAGCAGCGCGCCATCCACCTTTGCGAAGGCAGTGTACAAGCCGATCCAGGTATCGCGAGAAAAAACTGTGTAAGCGCAGACGTCTTGGGGTGGCAGCATGACAGAGAAAAGGAGAACCTCCTGTCATGCGCAGCTAGCACGTAAACGGAAAACCACATATGACAAGAGGGGTTCGCGGCTGCTCAACAAAGCCTCCCTCTTGTTTGGCTACGGGCAGAGGCCCCACTAAGCGAAGCCTTCGCCCGATGGCACGGCGCGAAATTTTCTACGGGCACCCGTACAGAAACCGGTAGCCGGCCACTTCCGGCAAAGCTTCCCCCTTGTTTGGCTACGGGCAGAGGCCCTATTAAGCGAAGCCGTCGCCCGATGGCACGGCGCGAAATTTTCTACGGGCACCCGTACAGAAACTGGCAGCCGATCACTTCCGGCAAAGCGCGCCCCTTGTTTGGCTACGGGCAGAGGCCTTACTAAGCGAAGCCGTCGCCCGATGGCACGGCGCGAAATTTTCTACGGGCACCCGTACAGAAACTGGCAGCCGGCCACTTCCGGCAAAGCTTCCCCCTAGTTTGGCTACGGGCAGAGGCCCTACCAAGCGAAGCCGTCGCCCGATGGCACGGCGCGAAATTTTCTACGGGCACCCGTACACAAACTGGTAGCCGGCCACTTCCGGCAAAGCTTCCCCCTTGTTTGGCTACGGGCAGAGGCCCTACTAAGCGGAGCCGTCGCCCGATGCATGGCACGGCGCGGAATTTTCTACGGGCACCCGTACAGAAACTGGCAGCCGGCCACTTCCGGCAAAGCTTCCCCCTTGTTTGGCTACGGGCAGAGGCCCTACTAAGCGGAGCCGTCGCCCGATGGCACGGCGCGCAATTTTCTACGGGCACCCGTACAGAAACTGGTAGCCGGCCACTTCCGGCAAAGCTTCCCCCTTGTTTGGCTACGGGCAGAGGCCCTACTAAGCGAAGCCGTCGCCCGATGGCACGGCGCGAAATTTTCTACGGGCACCCGTACAGAAACTGGTAGCCGGCCACTTCCGGCAAAGCTTCCCCCTTGTTTGGCTACGGGCAGAGGCCCTACTAAGCGAAGCCGTCGCCCGATGGCACGGCGCGAAATTTTCTACGGGCACCCGTACAGAAACTGGTAGCCGGCCACTTCCGGCAAAGCGTCCCCCTTGTTTGGCTACGGGCAGAGGCCCTACTAAGCGAAGCCGTCGCCCGATGGCACGGCGCGAAATTTTCTACGGGCACCCGTACAGAAACTGGTAGCCGGCCACTTCCGGCAAAGCGTCCCCCTTGTTTGGCTACGGGCAGAGGCCCTACTAAGCGAAGCCGTCGCCCGATGGCACGGCGCGAAATTTTCTACGGGCACCCGTACAGAAACTGGTAGCCGGCCACTTCCGGCAAAGCGTCCCCCTTGTTTGGCTACGGGCAGAGGCCCTACTAAGCGAAGCCGTCGCCCGATGGCACGGCGCGAAATTTTCTACGGGCACCCGTACAGAAACTGGTAGCCGGCCACTTCCGGCAAAGCGTCCCCCTTGTTTGGCTACGGGCAGAGGCCCTACTAAGCGAAGCCGTCGCCCGATGGCACGGCGCGAAATTTTCTACGGGCACCCGTACAGAAACTGGTAGCCGGCCACTTCCGGCAAAGCGTCCCCCTTGTTTGGCTACGGGCAGAGGCCCTACTAAGCGAAGCCGTCGCCCGATGGCACGGCGCGAAATTTTCTACGGGCACCCGTACAGAAACTGGTAGCCGGCCACTTCCGGCAAAGCGTCCCCCTTGTTTGGCTACGGGCAGAGGCCCTACTAAGCGAAGCCGTCGCCCGATGGCACGGCGCGAAATTTTCTACGGGCACCCGTACAGAAACTGGTAGCCGGCCACTTCCGGCAAAGCGTCCCCCTTGTTTGGCTACGGGCAGAGGCCCTACTAAGCGAAGCCGTCGCCCGATGGCACGGCGCGAAATTTTCTACGGGCACCCGTACAGAAACTGGTAGCCGGCCACTTCCGGCAAAGCGTCCCCCTTGTTTGGCTACGGGCAGAGGCCCTACTAAGCGAAGCCGTCGCCCGATGGCACGGCGCGAAATTTTCTACGGGCACCCGTACAGAAACTGGTAGCCGGCCACTTCCGGCAAAGCGTCCCCCTTGTTTGGCTACGGGCAGAGGCCCTACTAAGCGAAGCCGTCGCCCGATGGCACGGCGCGAAATTTTCTACGGGCACCCGTACAGAAACTGGTAGCCGGCCACTTCCGGCAAAGCGTCCCCCTTGTTTGGCTACGGGCAGAGGCCCTACTAAGCGAAGCCGTCGCCCGATGGCACGGCGCGAAATTTTCTACGGGCACCCGTACAGAAACTGGTAGCCGGCCACTTCCGGCAAAGCGTCCCCCTTGTTTGGCTACGGGCAGAGGCCCTACTAAGCGAAGCCGTCGCCCGATGGCACGGCGCGAAATTTTCTACGGGCACCCGTACAGAAACTGGTAGCCGGCCACTTCCGGCAAAGCGTCCCCCTTGTTTGGCTACGGGCAGAGGCCCTACTAAGCGAAGCCGTCGCCCGATGGCACGGCGCGAAATTTTCTACGGGCACCCGTACAGAAACTGGTAGCCGGCCACTTCCGGCAAAGCGTCCCCCTTGTTTGGCTACGGGCAGAGGCCCTACTAAGCGAAGCCGTCGCCCGATGGCACGGCGCGAAATTTTCTACGGGCACCCGTACAGAAACTGGTAGCCGGCCACTTCCGGCAAAGCGTCCCCCTTGTTTGGCTACGGGCAGAGGCCCTACTAAGCGAAGCCGTCGCCCGATGGCACGGCGCGAAATTTTCTACGGGCACCCGTACAGAAACTGGTAGCCGGCCACTTCCGGCAAAGCGTCCCCCTTGTTTGGCTACGGGCAGAGGCCCTACTAAGCGAAGCCGTCGCCCGATGGCACGGCGCGAAATTTTCTACGGGCACCCGTACAGAAACTGGTAGCCGGCCACTTCCGGCAAAGCGTCCCCCTTGTTTGGCTACGGGCAGAGGCCCTACTAAGCGAAGCCGTCGCCCGATGGCACGGCGCGAAATTTTCTACGGGCACCCGTGCAGAAACTGGCAGCCGGCCACTTCCGGCAA